ACATCACGCCTCAGATGTTCAAAATACAATGCTAACCCTAGACATCTAACTACAGCATACTTTATATAAAGTCATACATAACGACAAACACGAATGCATTAAAAATGCAACGAAAGTGAAACGTTTTTTTAGCAGGAGTGGATGGCTCTTAAGAGCCTTGGGGGCGCGTGCAGACAGACAGCGCAAGTGGGCGCTCACTTGGAGCTGGTGTACTTGGTGACCGCCTTGGTGCCCTCCGACACGGCATGCTTGGCCAGCTCGCCGGGCAGCAGTAGCCGCACGGCCGTCTGGATCTCCCGCGACGTGATAGTTGAGCGCTTGTTGTAGTGCGCCAGGCGCGACGCCTCGCCGGCGATGCGCTCGAAGATGTCGTTCACGAACGAGTTCATGATGCCCATGAGCCTTGGACGAGATGCCCGTGTCCGGGTGCACCTGCTTGAGCACCTTGTACACGTAGACCGAGTAGCTCTCCTTGCGGCTGCGCTTGCGCTTCTTGCCGTCCTTCTTCTTTGCCTTGGTCACCGCCTTCTTCGAGCCCTTGTTCGGGGCTGGGGCCGACTTGGCTGGCTCGGGCATAACGGCTACAGACGAGTAACACCACAACCAACCAAGTTAGAGAAAGAAGCGAGGTACTTTTCTTATGTAGAATGTGGTATGTAAATTAAGTGGTATCGATGCCCCGTGTCTGATTGGCGGTTACTCGGAGAAACGTCAGGGATTACTATTAGCCAATCAGAATATAGAAATGACAAACTCAACTTTCTATTGGTTAAAATCAAGATGTAATTTTAACCAATGACACGTCTTCCTTTTTCGCGCCCAAGTATGGCTATAAATAGTGCCCCCAGTTCCCTTCCTCTTACAAAGGAATTGGTGAGTTACCTGAGTTTGAGATGTCTGGACGCGGCAAGCAAGGCGGCAAGGCTCGCGCCAAGGCTAAGACGCGCTCTTCCCGCGCCGGGCTGCAGTTCCCGGTGGGGCGCGTGCACCGCCTGCTGCGCAAGGGCAACCGAGCGCGTGGGCGCCGGCGCCCCGGTGTACCTGGCGGCCGTGCTGGAGTACCTGACGGCCGAGATCCTGGAGCTGGCGGGCAACGCGGCGCGCGACAACAAGAAGACGCGCATCATCCCGCGCCACCTGCAGCTGGCCATCCGCAACGACGAGGAGCTCAACAAGCTGCTGGGCAAGGTGACGATCGCGCAGGGCGGCGTGCTGCCCAACATCCAGGCCGTGCTGCTGCCCAAGAAGACCGAGAGTCACCACAAGGTCAAGTGAGCTTTGGGTGCCTAGCAACAACAGAAAAGGCTCTTTTCAGAGCCGCTTCCATAGTCGTAAAAGATAGTAGCACAGTTTTAGGGGCAATAGACGCTGAATCTGACGTGATGGGCTTCAGTCGTTTCCTAGTTGCATCAACTGCACTATTCCCTCAGGCTCCTAACTCCAGAAGAGTCTGAGCAGCAGACCCAAGTACTTGTTCGCTGGGTTACATACAGTACCATTTTAACTACGGAGCGTACAACGTTAAACTGGTGGCTAAGCATGTGTGTGCTTCGAGTTATTCAGGTAGCATAAGAAATTAACTAGGAAGTGCTTGTCATTGGTTACCGCTAAGACTTCAGGCTTAGTAGTGTGAACAGAAAGCATTTTAACCGTGTAAGTGTTTCGAAGCAGCTCAAACAGGATTTACAGAATTACTTGAAACTAGAGCTTTCCTCTATAATGGAACTGAACCTGATCCCTTGCATGCTGGAGAAGCACGCTGCTCCAGCACTGCCGACCTTAGCCCTGTTTGCTCAGTCTCTAAAGGGAAGACTCGCAGTGTTTATGAACAAATAAAAATGTAGACATACACTAGCACTATATTCAATTCTTGGTTTTGATTTTTCTGTCTTGGGTTAGTTCTTGAAATTACAACATTAGGGGGTCCTGGCTTTCAAATTAAGGGTCCTTAAAACTAAAGAACCAGTCACATTGTGTGTGTTTATGTGTGTGTTGGTGCCACAGAAATGATACTATACAGAGTAATTTTTATCTTTAGAATTGTATATCATGTTCTGACATTTTCTAGTTCTATGCTGTAAAACAGTTCTGTGCCTGGGTTTAATGGGCCTACCTTAGACTTTGTTAGGATGAATGAGTTAAATATTGGTTTAGTATACTAGGGGAGTAGAGAAAACAATCAAAGAAGTTCAAGCTCATTTGTAAGAATAATGCCGGTAACGCATGATGTTATCATTCCAAGAGTACTAGCAGACAGACTCCTGTTAGGAAAAGGAGCACTAGTAGGCGGGCTCCTCTTTCAAAAACTACAATAAATAGTGGAATGCTGAATGCCATTTGAGAATCGTGCGGGCAGGGATCCCAGATGTTGCTCATATCTTTATGTGGGTGTAGCAAGGTGTCAGTTTGGTCCTTGAAGAGGACTGGAATATTATGCCACTTACCAGCTTTGCCATCTGGAAATTCAAGTGCAAGGACTTACATGTATTTCCTCTTCTATTAAATTCTAGTTCGCTTATTTTTTTAAAAAGTGATTTATTTTGTAAAGAGCTACCATACATTGAAAGTGCAACTTCATGCCTATCACAAAGAATCTAATTTATTTAGTTGAAACATACAAAAGCAAATAATTAAATATGTTACAAGAAAAACCAAAGCAGTAAGCATAGAGAATTAGAGGAGGATAGACAAGGAGTAAACTGAGGAGGAATGCCAGGCATGGTGGCACATGCCTATAATCCTAGCACTTGGGAGCCTGAGGCAGGAAGATTGCTGCGTGTTTGAGGCCAACGTGGGCTACACACTGAGTTCAAGGGCCATCCTGAACTACATAGAGAGACCCTATCTAAAAGGAAAAAAAAAATCAGGCTGGTAAAGCTGATTCAAAGTGTAGGACCCCAACTACTGTGTAGCCTCTAGACAGTCAGCATACAACAAAGTACATTCCATTCTGCTTTGCTCCCTTCCATCTACAGGTAAGATTAGAAGGAAGTGTATGTAAACCTGGTATGAGTAAACGAAGGTAATGTTTTAGGACTTTGATCAAGACAGGTCATCCTGGGTCTGGGGTTGACCAACGCAGGATGCCAGACATGTTATAAACCAGACAACCTAAGGGATAGCAGGAAACTGACCCCTTGCCCACTTACTGTGCTTACAATCCTCTCCACTAGTCTTCAGAAAGTGCTCTTCATATGCTAATTGCTAACTTGGCCAAAAGCCCACCCAGGAGCAAACGGTATAACAAAAGGTGACCACCACGGAACATTTCCTGCATAAGATAGGCAATGTGTTTGCAGTCTTATTCTGAGAATTCCAACTCTTTGTTTAGAAAAACCTTATAAAAAGTACCTCAGCCCCTGAGCAGGGGCCTCTCTGAGCTACCTGGCTCCGGGAGTGCCGTCTGTTCAGACTAATAAAGGTCTATTTACCATCTAGCCTGGTGTGTTCCCTCCTGGGTTTCTCGGTTCTCCATCAAGCTCTGGGAGCCCTTTTTGGCTGTTCACGGCTTTCGGAAGTAAGGCCCTGGGTCTTGTTTCTGGAGCCATCATTGGGCTATAGGACTCAGCATCGTGGAGGCCCTTTCGGCTGTTCACGCTCTGTGGAGTGGAAGTGAGACTTTAAGTCTTACAGAAGATTAAAGGAATTTAGAGGAGAGTTTAGGACCCAGCAGAGAATGCACACATCAGGCTCATGGTTCTAATATGAGCCAGGCAAGTGACAAGAAATCCAATAGTGGCAATAACCCAAAGGTTGCAAGAGACAGGCCACAGGGGATTTGTAGGCTGTTCCTTTAGCTTTAAATACTTCTCAAATAGTAGTAACTCCCATCTCTATGTCCATCCCAGACAACATAAGTCTGAATTTGATACAAACTTATTCCTCTACCCCCTAGATTTGTTATAGCCAGGAAAGTCAAAACATCTATCAGAGTGATCATTGTCAAAAATTCTACTCCTCCCCACTAATCCTAGTCTTGGTAAACAGCATCACTGCCATTAGCATAAGTCAAAATGATCCGGCATTATGGAGGACTTGCTTTTGTGGGCCATTATACATTACAGTGAAGCTCAGTTCTCATGAGATGGAAACATGCTCAAAGTTCACAACATGTAGCTAGAAATAACAGGATTGTTGTAGTTCAGCACAAGGAGGATTTTCAGAGAATACCTGTGTCCATGTTCTATACTCACTTTCCCTGAATAGATAATGCCTCATGTAATCTAAATTGAAGTCAATTGGGAGAACTGTTTCTATGCTTATTTCCAGAAAAGGGAGCCTTCCCATCCTGCAAAAGTATTATCAGTGTAAACCTGGAAAAATCTCCAGGAAGGCCTTTCTGTGCTGTTTCTTGTTTTGGAAAGAGGGAATACACAGTTTACACAATCAAAAGCACTAATCCGTTTAGCAGGTGGCCCAATTATGGCTCAGCAAGAATTCCCCTTGCCCTGAAATCTTGTGGGAATTACTTCTTCTTTTAGTTTTATGAGACAGAGTCTCACTGTTAGTTCAGACTGGCCTTGAACTCATTATGTAGCCCAGGCTGGCCTCAAATTTGGGGCAACCCTCCTGCCTCAGCCTCCCATATGCTAGGATTACAGGCATGTGACACCACACCCAGCGCTTGTGGGCATTACTTCTGTCTAGATTGTGTATCTTCCTTTCCAGAGGTGGACTGATCCCTGAGAGAACTAGCCTTTATACTGTTCAGTGAGATCCCGACAGAAAGTATTACAATATGATCTTAGTTTCATAAAATGCTGAAATAATTCTAAACACCATATGAAGAATGACATGGATCCCATCTGTCAGAATCACAGGGACCCCATTTCTCATGGACCCACTCATAGGCAAGAAGCAGGAGCAGACTGTACTGGTTTCAATTTTCTTTGTTTTGTATTGTTTTGTTTTTGTTTCTTGAGACAGGGTAGGGTCTCACTATGCAGTTGAGACTAACCTGGAACTCACTATGTAGCCCAGGCTGGTCTTGAACTCACAGCAATCCTCCTTCCTTGGCCGCCAGAATGCTGGGATTGCAGGTGTGCGCACATCCTGCAAGACAGCCAAACTCTATTCACCCGGGATGGCTCCAGATCGTCTCCCACACAATTTCAGAGGGCTTGTAGGTAACCCAGATGGCTAGTTCTTTTTCAAATGGCAGATACCCAATTCTTGCCACAAATTTTGACTTTAGCAGACCAACTTGTGAACAAGAGATCAAAACTAAATATAGCTCCAGAAATGGGTAGTATTCTTTTTAACCGCTTCAGGCACCACGAACTACAAACAGGAACGTGAAACTTAAAAGCAACATTTAGGAGCCATTATTTTTGCAGTAGAAAAACAAACTGGCAGCACCGTACAAACCACAGGTGAGTACAGTCCGATTCTTGTAAAGCTCAATATTGTGATAAGGAGTTAAAATTGGAGCAATTATATCCCACCGTCTCAACGAGTAAAATGCCTACAGACTTGGTCCGCCACCTAAGAAAGTTGAATCCAGATTACAGATCTTCAGGGTGTTTGTGGGTGGCTCTGAAAAGAGCCTTTGGGTGGGAGAGTGGAGGCGTCCCGGGCTCAGGCCCGCTCCCCGCGGATGCGGCGCGCTAGCTGGATGTCCTTAGGCATGATGGTGACACGCTTGGCGTGGATGGCACACAGATTGGTGTCCTCGAACAGCCCCACCAGGTAGGCTTCGCTCGCCTCCTGCAGCGCCATCACCGCCGAGCTCTGGAAGCGCAGGTCGGTCTTGAAATCTTGGGCGATCTCGCGCACCAGGCGCTGGAATGGCAGCTTGCGGATCAGCAGCTCGGTTGACTTCTGGTAGCGGCGAATCTCGCGCAGCGCCACGGTCCCCGGACGGTAGCGGTGCGGCTTCTTCACCCCGCCGGTGGCCGGCGCGCTCTTGCGGGCCGCCTTCGTAGCTAGCTGCTTGCGTGGAGCTTTGCCACCGGTAGATTTACGCGCAGTCTGCTTAGTACGAGCCATGGCTGCGAGATCAGGACCGCTTCAATTTCTAGGACACAGACCGCCCGCGTATTTATAGTGAGAGCTGGAAGGTGATTGGACAAAAAGCCTGCCTTGTTTACACAACGCTAACAGGATTGGTCAAACATTTTCAAAATTTTTTTCTAAATTCTTTGATAGTTTTAGCTGTGTGTGACTTTTTTAATAGAGGTTTTATACCAGCGAATTTAAATGGAAATAAATGCAAATGACACCAATAAATTTCTCTAGAAGCAAAAATACAACAAAGTAAAACCAGGACAATGAATTTCAGTATTGTGCTTTTCCAAAATATTCTTATTAATTCACTATGCAGTCAATGTAGAATGTTAAATATTTCACTTTGTTGGCAGTAGGTTTTAGAAACCCTGTGCGTACTGTATTTATATAGTATTTTTAAATTCAGATTACCAATTTCCCAGTGATTACTATTTACTGACCACCAAACTGGAGTAGTTTAATGCCTGTCCTTTTGCCTTCACTTAATTCTAAAAACTTTAAAAATTTTTTCACCAATAAAATCCTTATATGTATGAGGAAATTAGTCTAATAATTTCAGATACCTTCTTGTACTAATAGGTTTCACGTTCAGATAATATAAAACTTCCACTATTTTTTTCTAAAAATGTAATTTTTGTCCTAGTAAAGAATCTAGTCCAGTTCATAAATGAAATTTAAAGTGTTGGACATATAAAAGGGTAGGAAATAAGTAAACAATGAGAATTACTGGCAACACAACCAAGTTAATGTTCAAATTTAGTCTGAATAAAAACCTTTTAATCCTTAGATAACAATGTGAAACTGCTTAATTATCCTGATGCTGGATAAGGGCTCAGAAATCTCAAAAGTTCCAAAACGAATCCTAAATTACTTTAGGAATCTGGTTGGATGCTACATCCTAAATATCTGCTAAGACTCAGAAAACAACTGTCCAATGTAGACATAAAATTGATCCATTGCTAGCATTACTCGGGTAGGAAAGATGTTGGCAACTAACATCACTCAGGAGCGAAGCCAAAGGTGGAAGGAATTGCAATGCCCCGCAGGCTAACGTAAAATGCTGAGTTCTACGTAGTTTGTAACACTGAGACCATGTGGTTTAGAACAAGTGGACATGAAATTCTTTACCATAGTGCTCAGTTCTTCCAAGAAACTTGGGTGGCTCTGAAAAGAGCCTTTTGTTTTGGTTGGAATTGGCACAAATTGAACGTTCAACTTCTACTTGCCCTTGGCCTTGTGGTGGCTCTCGGTCTTCTTGGGCAGCAGCACGGCCTGGATGTTGGGCAGCACGCCGCCCTGCGCGATCGTCACCTTGCCCAGCAGCTTGTTGAGCTCCTCGTCGTTGCGGATGGCCAGCTGCAGGTGGCGCGGGATGATGCGCGTCTTCTTGTTGTCGCGCGCCGCGTTGCCCGCCAGCTCCAGGATCTCGGCCGTCAGGTACTCCAGCACGGCCGCCAAATACACGGGGGCGCCGGCGCCCACGCGCTCGGCGTAGTTGCCCTTGCGGAGCAGGCGGTGCACGCGGCCCACGGGGAACTGCAGCCCGGCTCGGGAAGAGCGAGATTTAGCCTTGGCGCGAGCCTTGCCGCCCTGCTTACCGCGTCCAGACATCAAGAGAACTGGAGCAAGTACTCAACCACCAGTGGTCCGAAAGTGACAGAAGCGCCCTTTATAGCGTCCTCGGGGCGCGAAAAGGCAGCCCTGCGATTGGTCACTTTTTATGTTCGTTTAGACCAATGGACGTCTGTGCGTCTGGCGAGCCTGGACTGTGACGTCACAGAAACTCAAGCACCAATCGCCGGGAAAGCTTCTCCGCGCCTCATTTGCATTTCTCTCTGTAGATAAAGCAGCACCGTTTGCTTCTCCCTTCACTACTCTAGTTCTCGTTCCAAAAATTCCTGAAGCAGCCAAGTCAGCGCCGCTCCCGAAGAAGGGCTTGAAGAGGGCGGTGACCAAGACGCAGACAAAGGACGGCAAGAAGCGCAAGCGCAGTCGCAAGGAGAGCTACTCGGTGTACGTGTACGAGGTGGTCAAGCAGGTGCACCCGGACACGGGCATCTCGTCCAAGGCCATAGGCATCACGAACTCTTTCGTGAACGACGTCTTCGAGCGCATCGCCGGCGAGGCGTCGCTCCTGGCGCACTACAACCAGCGCTCGACCATCACGTCGCGGGAAATCCCGACGGCCGTGTGGCTGCTGCTGCCCGGCGAGCTGGCCAAGCACACCGTGTGGGAGGGCACCAAGGCGTCACCAGTACACTAGCCCCATGTGAGCTGGCGAGTGAGGGTCTGGCCTACCCACAGTCTTTTTTCAGAGACATCTACTCTTTAGATATGGCACAATGTTATTGAGAAGGCTAAGGCCTTTGACGAATGCCTTGAAATAATGGGTTGTTTTGGGTAGGAAAGTGATGAAAATCCCACAGCCCCCCACGAATAAAGTTGTTGCTGGAGTTGGCAGGATTCAGAACAAAGAGGCAGAGGGAGCTGAAATATGCACAACTGTAGATTATACTTTAGTTGCGTGGTTTAAGTGACCCTAACTTGAGCTACATGCTAATTTAACCTTCGGGTTTTCTTTGAGCAACAGGGGACTCTGTACAAGTCTCAACTGCCAGTGTAGAAGGGCCAGCAGCATTTGCTCCATAGGGGCATGTGATCAGACCGGAGGTGAGTTGGCTGTACAGTGAGCGCTGTAGATCTGCAGTCTCAACAGCGTCTAACATCACCACCTGAAGTGAGACCCCTGCCTTTATATTAACTTAAGCAACGGGTGGCAGTTCTCAATACAGACACTGCTATGTGCTGGATGCCCTGAAACCTAACCCCCAGAGAGGTGGTGTTAAGTGGAGCTTTGGGGGCTTTGCTGTCAAGAATAGTAGTCGCCTCAAAAGTGGGGGTAGTCTTGCAGGAAATTGAGGAGCAAAAAGTTTTCCCCTGGGAAGCAGAGCTGACCCTCAGCCGACTCTATATGCTGGCTCCTTGATCTTGTGTTTCCCAGCCTTTAAGAATTTTGTTATTCGTAAACAAACAAGTATATTTTGTAATTGCAGTCCCAAGGCAGATTTGGATGCGCAAAACTCCCCATGTAGTGCAAGCAAGAAAGAAATTAACCCATCGGGCAATCTTGCATGGCTTCTCTAAAGGACAATTGTAACTGCAGTTTCAGGGGAGCGGGTCTTGCCCTCAGATAACTGTGAATGATGTATCTTATTAATTATAGTCTCTTTTTTAAGATTTGGGCAAGGTCCTGAAATTTTTTTTTACTACATATTATTGGAAAGAGCAGGCCTCAGTACCTATTTTACTGGAAGTAGAAAAAAGGCTGAAGAAGCTTTTGTTTCTTAAAATGGGGAGCAGGTCACATCTAATGGGTTTAGTTAGCTTTCACTTCTGGGTTGCCCCTCAGATGTGTACATTGGCTTATTGTCAAGAATATGTGCTGGGGATTTAGCTCAGCAGTTCTGCTGCCTGCCTTGCACGTGCAAGGACCCAAGTTCGATCCCCCATACCAAAAAAGAATATGTGTATTCTTTGTGCTGTTGTTGTTCTGTTATTTTCCATATATTTAGCTAGATTCAACTTCTATCATAGAAGGTTTTTCCTAAAATATTACCTCATGATCCCCCATGAGAATGGACTGCTCGGTCAGCTCTTCCACTATGGCTAAGTAATTCATGGAATTTAAGGCTGAAGAACCTTAAGCACTGTCTTGGTCCATTTGTGCTGCTATCACAGAATGTCTGGATGATTTATGAGAAACAGTGGCTTATTTTCTTACAGTTCTGGAGACTGGAGAAGAGAACCAAAGCCCAGGAGTTTCTGTGTCTGGGGAATCCTGGTCTCTGCTGTGTCCTTGGTGGAGGGCACAGGGCAGAAATAGTCCCTGCCCTGCCTCTGTCCAGCCTTAAGAGTGGCATTAATCCATCAGAGGGCAAAGTCCCCTTGGCCAAAGCACTCAAGAGGCCCCACATGGTTGCTTTGGGGATTAAGTCTCCACCACCTGAACTTGGGGGCCACAAGCAGATCCTCCAAGGTGCTGCCGGCCTCACTCTCCCTTGGCCTCTTCCTCAGCAGTGTTTCCTTGAGCTTCCACTTTATAAACAGGAAGTACTGGTGCAGTACTGGCACTGCTGTGGCTTGAGTGTATCTCCCAGAAATTTCTGTGTTGAAACCTATTCCCCAGTGTGGTGGTATTAGGATGTTTGCTTCGAATTAATGTATTCAGGATACCAAAATTTACAAGAAACTAGGCATTGCTGTATTATAGTGGAAAATGTGCCTGGTCTGAGAAGTGACCACAAGTTATTAATCAGAAATTGCTTTAGTGAGTTAAAGGTGAAAGTACGTAAAGGAGCCTAATTACTAAGGAACATTTCCATAATTCTGTAATGGGATTATAACTCACTTCATTGATGATCACCACCATTCAGTTTTCCTTCAGGTCCCAGAATCTCTAGATTTGAACCATACCAGATACATTCCCATGCACATATCTTCACTGGTATTGGAACTTTATTTTATGTCATTTGATATTTGAGTTAATGATTTATTAATATCTGGGGAAAAATAGAGGCTTAGAAAATATTTGAAAGGATGCCTCTATGTTATTCCTACTTGTATTGTTTGTTTGTTTGTTGAGATAGGGTCTCACTATGTAGCCCTGGTTGGCCTCAAACTCAGGCAAAATTCCTGCCTCAACCTCCCAAGTGCTGGGATTATAGATGTGTGACACTGTGCCTGGCTACCTGCTCCTATGCTGACTAAGTTTTATTTCTCTACCCTTTTGTCAAGTTCTGGAATAGAACCTTATTTGGGAACTATAGCACAATTCATGGATGACATCCCTAAAAGACACACTTAGACCTGGAAAGTTTAGCACCTTTCAGATTCTCAAATATGTTGATCTGGACCCTCCATATCTCTATGGGAGAAGCCCACAGTCTGGGAATTTTGAAAGATTTTGTCGTTTTAGAATCGTCTTGCAGATAGGGAGGAAAAGAGACGAAGGCTGTAAACTGCGCGGGGCACACAGATATCCCTGTCCTTCTGCATGCCAGGAAGCTGGGAGCTAGAAGATTTAGACGCTAATTCCAGGGGGAAAAAACAAAAACAGCCACCTGAGGATCTGAGCCAGCAAAGTGCTTGCACCGGCCTGACCGCTGCGCTACTGCGGCCAGGCCGGAGCGAACTCGTCCCGTGTTCTTATGTGGAGGAGTTGCGGAGGATCCGCCCAGCTGCATCGGAAGTTGTATGAATTGGAAACGGCATCGATGGTGAAGAAATACCAACCGTACATCGAGGGAAAGACGGTCTTGTGGGATTTATAGGGTGTCTTTGGGGCATCTTCTTATTTCTAAATATCTGCTTAATATTTCGGACTTGTTCACATCTCTCTCCCGCCGCCCCCGGGGCCAACATCAGAGACGGACACCATTTCTGAAGACACATAGCAAGTTCGTAAATAAGCTCTTGAAAAATCTGTGAGCGCTGACTTTCACTAATGACGGCATTATTTGGGGTAGGGGACCGCACTGTGGGCAGCACAGAGGACTCAGGTAACATTTCTGTTTCTGGAGTCGTCGTGACTCGTAGGACCGCATGACAAGCGGCCCAGACCCGGCGGCAGGGTGAGACAAACGTCGCGGTGCTGGATGCCGGGAAGGGACCCCTCCACACCTCGGGCCGCGGTGCCGCTCTGCGTGGCCCCCTCGCGGCCCAGGTGGTCATGTGATGCTGGGGACTTGGAAAGGGGCCCCTTCTGGAAGACTCCGGGAAGGCCACGCGGACCCTCGGGGTCGCCCCCTTCCAGGAGGCTCCGTCGCGGGGCTTACAGTGCCTCCCATCCGACCCACACGGAGAACCGCGGTGACAGCGCCAGCGCGCCGCGGACCCATTTCCCCCACCTCTCCAGACAGCCCTGTAGGGGGCGGCACAGATGCATCGAAAGCAACTGTTTTAAAGTGTGATCCTAGAGCTTCGAGTTGAATATTTGTCACAAGAAAAACTCATCAAGCTTTAGACCTCACCGGCCCCATGGTGTAATGGTTAGCACTCTGGACTTTGAATCCAGCGATCCGAGTTCAAATCTCGGTGGGACCTCAGTGGTTTTTTTTTTTCCACTTTTCTTTGAAAACCCACGCGTCCCGCTCTAATCCAGCCGCACACACCCACAGCCCCATCACCACCCTGGTCCTAAGACTGGCGCCAAGGCTGTATAGATTCCCCCGGTTCCCGTAGGCTTGATTCCTAGAAAGAATGTGCGTATTTGTTTTAAAATCCCATTTTTGAAAGAATGCTCACATTGTGTAGGCTGCAAGTTAAGAAGAGGTGTGGCGCTTTGCTTCAAACTGCTGGCAGCAACCCCGGGCGCGCAGCCATGCAGATCCCAACACCAGTCCTCCCCTTTCTAGGGCAGCTCTGGCTCTCAGGACGGTTGCCCGAGCCCTCACGCATCTCCCCTGATCACCATTCCTACCGCACTGTAGGTACCAGCCCAGAAAGAGAAAAAAATTATTCCACTTATTCATTTTCTCCTCTCTTGTCACTGTGGCCTCCGGAACACTCCTCCACCTGAATTCCAGATGTCAAACACTGATTTAGACTTCCAGATCTTTTCTGATCTGGGCTCGGGATCCCTTCTGTGTTCGCCCCACACCCGAAACCCCTGCCCACACCGCCTCATATGTTCACTGCTCCTTCACTAAGCTCCGTCTCTCCACAGAGCTGTCCTCGCGGTGCGGGGACCCTGTGTCCTGGCCGCCTCGCCGGTCTTGGTCCTGCCCTGCCTGGAGCAAGCTCTGAATTCAAAACGCTCTCTGAGCGCACGAACCGGCCAGAAACCAGGACAGCTCGTGCCCGTGTCTGGATCAAAGCTTTCTCCTCTGCTTCTTTCCGGATTATTTTCACCCCTTTTCCTTCGCGGACCCCAAGTCTACATCACCCAAAGATTAAGTCTTTGCAAGAGATTGAGGAGGCGGATCTCGACTGTGACGTCCTGGGGACGCACTGCGTGCCCACAGGCGGGGAGGGAAGGAAGCGACAGGACCGCCTGACAAGCCGCCCAGACCCGGCGGCAGGGTAAAGGAAGGCTCCGGAAAAGGAAGGCTCCTTTGACTCCACCGAGGCCTGCGCTCTTGCTGGGCCGTGCGCAGGGGATTCGCTTTCCCGCCGCTGTGAGAAGCCGCACGGCTCGGGGCTGCCTGTGGGTGGCGCCAACCACGCGTTCTTGATGGAGTGGGAGGTTTCGGAGAGCGGAGGGTCCGAGGGCTTCTGCTGGGCCTTACGGCGCCTCCTCTTTCCTCCTGCTTTGGTACTCGTCTTCCCGCGGACCAGACTGGCCCAGCCACGAGGGTCTACTGCCCTCCCCGTGAACACCTGGAATTGCGCTCGATCATCTCGGCCTTTCCAGTGAGGTTGAGTGGTGAGGGGCGGGGCGAGGCGGGAAGATTCCGAACAGGAACACTAACACGAGGCGCGTATGCTTGTATATGTGCGCGCGCCTGTGTGCGTGT